CTGCGTCCCATCAAATTAGCCATTGCATTATCGTGCTGAAGAATAACATCGCTCATGAATATCTTTAGTGGTTTGACGAAGATGCTTGTTGATTTTTCACATTCCATTCATGCAATGCCTGGGATGGAATCCTACACTTTTATCGCTTTATCACCATATCGCCTGAATGGATCAATATATTATTATTATTATTATTATCAATATATTATGATCTTGATTTGTATGTCAGAATTATCTGTAAAGCTGATTGCAGGAAGAAATCCAATCACCAAGCTCACAGAGTTTTCAAGGCTTCAGCCACTGTTAGATATATATGCACCTAATCTGGCACTACATTAAACTTTACAATTTCTATTTCAGGTGAGTTAATCTTCATGGAAGTAGCTGCGTGACACACCTTTTAAAACTACCTTATAATTAAAGATTTACAAGATTTACAGATTTATCGTGGAATCAGATATGCAGTTTTTTCTCAAAATCCAAATTCATTTTTTTATGAAGTATCGTTCCACTGGACATCTTATGGTACTAAGCCGCGTCTCGGAAAATACATTCCCTAAATGATAAATACGTTAAAGTATATTTTCAATCAAACTTTTTAAAATTATCGATACCTAAACTCACCTGATGCTGAATTGATGGACTGATATTAACTTTTCATATTCATTCATTGATATGTTTCAATGTAAATCAACACAGTGTGTATGCGTAAGATGCATACTATTTTAGTGTAATTTGAACAGCTTCTTACCCGCTATTAATACATTAATCGTTATGAATATATTCTGCCTTATGTGGATTGATAATGATTTTTTTCATTTTTCTAGTATTTTGAACCAGTAGAGAGTGAACAATTCTTTTCTTTTTTAATTCACCAATTGAGTGCTTTTCTCCTCATCTGATATTCAGCATAAACTAAATGCAATCATTAGCGTAGTGTTGTTTCTATTGTTCCTTTGACTTCTGAGTGAAACATGGACTGTCAACTGCAAATCATCACTTCGTTCTGTTATTGACAGTCCTTTACAGCTAACCATGGCTTTCATGTACTCCTCAAAGGATTTCCTTTATATTTGCGTCCGAAGCTCAAGTGATCATTCCACAATTGACTTTCACTCGAGTGATAGCTTCAGCATAATCCTACTCAGTGCTCTCTTGAGCATGTGTCCAACGCGTCCCTATTTTTTTACCGTATTTGTTGGGCGGCAGATTATCAACGAGTGCCAACTAGCACGAAACCTAGGTCCAAGGCTTCCTGCCGATCGCCTCCAACCAACTAACACCATCAAATCAATGTGCACCGTGATGGCCAGCTAGCTAGAATGGTGGTCACATTACAACCTGACTGATAGAATTCAGTCTACACCAATCAGAGGACTAGACGCATCACACTAGTTACTAGTGTCAAATCAAAAGATTAAAAAACTGTTAATTACAGATCAAGATGTTAAAGACAGTTAAAAGAAGTCATCGATTCTCATGACAGTTGTAAAATTGACAACAGTGATATAGGAATCAAATCAGAAATTAAGTATCTTGGACTCATTCTCTCTTCTGATCTCTCCTGGACTTCCCATGTCTTAGCAATATCCAGTAAAATATTCCACCTGACATTTCACATTAAGAAGTTAAGACACTCTGGTACAACTCAACCCATGGTCTTGCAGTTCATAAACTCTTGCATCCTACCTATTCTTCTTTATTGCTAACCCTTATTCTTTCCTGGTTTGCTTCAAAAAAGCTATGTCACGATTGGTAGAATGCTGATGACGGTCAGTAGGGTGAGTGATGTCCCAGTGGACCACATAGTTAACGTCGTTGTCGATAGGCACTTGACTTCATGGAATAAATTTGCTAAAGGGATTTTGTCTGACTTGGAGCATCCGCTTTACCCTCAGCTTTCATCTTGCATATCCTCAGGTAGAACAGGAAGTAACTTCAGAAAACTGTATGCTCTCACGTCTTAGCATAGAAATTCTATGATACCATACTTGACAAGTATTTTATGTGATGAAAATAGTGTCAGGCAACAATTAAATAACTTTTCTTCATCTAGTAAATAAACAATTTCCTCCATCCATCCTTATGTACCTTCACGTTTTACTTTTATTATTTCTGTTATATTTACGGTCCTGTTGCTTCTTTGTTTTACTCTCCTAATTTCAAGCACCAACTTATCTCTATGACTGCTGTAATATTTGTTTTTTCCTCACCACATCATGTAAAGAGAACGTTATCTTCAATGTTTTTAAACATGTTAGGATTTCTATACCAAATTGCCAATACTGTGTGAAAAAAGCCCATGGCAAATTTCACTCGTATTATTATTACCGTAGCTGTTATCATGATTATTATTTGCATTTTCTATGCTGCATTTTTTTCACACTACCTCTATTGTAAATGTCGAAAATTTTCCGTGTGATTAATTTTTATTTATAATTTGAGGAAATTAGATGCAATACTTTGTGTGATTAATGCTGAACATTCCATTCTGTATCACAAGTACTGTTTTTGGAATAAAGTAAATCATTATTATTATTGGAATCACATTCTGTGCAATTACTCTCACCACTTATACACTATGAGTCGAAGAAACTTGCTTTCTTACATTAAGACATTGAAGTACAGTCTGACTTTTGTCAGTCCATTATGTGTATGACTTATTAACTGGTTATTTGACCTATGAATTTCACCAATCTGCTGACGGTATAAATACCTCCTACATATATATGTTTCAGTACAAAATTGTCATCAGTCATACTTCGTATATTTCTTTGAAACACTTAAGCCAAGTCACTTATCATGGCGATGTACGAAGGTTTGTGTGAGTTGAATGGTTTTTATCTTACGGCATAAATGGTATGCTCGAGTGCCTTAGAAACGATTGATTGCCTAAAATAAAACACATCAGGCATGTGAAACGATATTCTCATTCTTGTTATTCCACTTCGATTATAAACATCTGCGATACGTCTACTGGTGAAGCAGAATCTCACGAATGGGATGTGGAAACAGGAGCGACTGTTTCCTGCAGTTAGACATGAGTGCTGACTTGAACTCATTACAAGAGGTGAAAGTAGTAGTCACGCTGTGATTACTAAGCAAACTGTTTGGTATCAGTTCAATGTGAACTGAACTTGTAGTATTAGAATCTTCACGCAGATGATGATTATGATGCTGACAGTACCACTAACTTGTGACTTCAGCCAGATTATCCAGTCCTTACTTTAGTATCCAAAACGTATGAGGAATCTGAGAAGATGAACAGAATCCAGCCAACATAAGTGTATTTATTCACTGAGTTAACATGTGCTATTTGACTATCGTAAATCTAACCAACATGTTTTGCTTGGACATACAGCTACATATTTCCAGAGAGTTTGGGTTAACCCTGGTAAGTTTCTTTACATAGTGTCTGCTGAATCCAACTGGTGTAGCATGTCTGCTGTCTAACTTTGAAATTATAATTTCGAAGTATAGGTGAAGTGAAAAATCTATTTCAATCTGAAAGAATCCTTCCACTGTTTATCACTAGTCCAAAGTGATAAAAGAGAGAGACTTAATGTAAAAGTGGCACACTTAATAATTAAAATAGGATGATTTACTGCACAATTCAAATCAAGTCGAAAATGTTCGTTCAATATCAACATTTCTGTGATTCTTGACGAGATTTACTCCTATGTGGTGACAACTCGTTGAGATAGAATTCGTTTCCAGGTTGTTCAGTGTTCAAGTAGTTGTCTATCTTACTTGCTGATTCATTAATCGAATAAAACAACAATCTGAGTGGAAACGTCTTGGTTGAAATCCAAACTCATTCTTTTCCGATTGTAAGTCACTCTACTAAAATGCTGAACAGCCTACAGAGACCATCCATTATCAGTGAAAAGTCATTCTTTGGTGAGCATAGTTGTCCAACATCGAAACTAATAATGTGAAAACGCTTCTCATTTTATCAACATATATGACAAGATATAGATGGGTAAGACGATGTTTGAAGTCATACATCATAAGTGCTCGGTGTGTTGGTCACCTGAAGGAAACAGGTGGATGTTCATTTGCATGAGTAAGAGAGAAGCACCAATAAATATTGTTCCAGTTATTGTTATAGAACTAATAATGCATATTCGTCTGCTTGTGGTTTGTCTCTATTCACCATGATTAATTGGCTGACTTTTGCATATCTTTCAATTCTCAACGCTTTAAATCATGCTGTAAAACTGCTTTTCTCAATGAACTCCTCCATTTTCAGTGGTAACAATTTTGAATAGTATTTTCCCAACATGTTAGCGTTCTTAATACAAATTACCATCGAACTTATTGTAAAACTTGACGCAATTTTGTGGGTATCTTTTAGACGTATTTTGATTAGTCAAATTAGTAACTGTGGCGTATGCATTTTCTACACACCTCAGATGTCAATTGAAAGCACCACTGTAATGCAGAATTTCAGTAAAATGCCTCCACTTCTAACCGCTGTGCCACCGACGCACACCATACATACCTATACTTCTTTTTAACTTGAACTTCCTATGTTATAGCTATATAAGTGTAATTTTCTGTGCACTGTTAACCGATTCTGGAACCTCCTGTCGACTGATATCTTGTAAACTTTGCAAGAATGTTAAAAATTTTCGGGACATAAGCTTGATAATTTATTTAGGCAGTAAGCAGATAATGAGAAGACAAACATGAGAAGATAACGGTAACATGTTTTTCTGCAAAAGTTATTGTTCTTTCTGTATACAAAACATTGAAAGATATTCACTTCATTATTGTTATACTTCTATTGTGCTTCAATGTGGTGTGTAGTGAATCATGTCTGATGGAGTTATAGTGTAACGCAGGAATAAGAAGAACGATCAAAAATTCCTAATCAACAGTTATTCTCAATTATTATAGTTAGTGAGTAGATAGTACAACAAAGTGAGTGTGTGTGATCAAGAAAGCAGATATATCCAGACATCTGTAGTCTCATAGAATCTGCTGTCTACTGACGGTCAACTTATCCTACATTCGAAAATACGTTGAGTGAATGTAAAAAACCGTACATAAATATTAGGTGTTAGCATCTTAAAGTTGACTTACATCAAAAGAATTGAGATCCATTTATTCTCCGTTATCCAGTCACATAGGCCTTTTCTATGAAACGAAAAACAAAGGTCTCACCATAGCAGTGATTTCAGTCTTACATTTTATTCACCATGGCAAGCATTCCCGCTGTCATTAAAAGCATTAGGAAGGTATCAGTCAGCATCTATGTAAAACGGTTTCAGAAGAAATAATTGTTTTCTTACCCAGATGAAGAAGTGCTGGAAGCTGCCTGGTCGTAGATTAAAACTTGACTTTTTCAAAATGTGCGGTCTCACAGTTTTACTTGACATTTTGTAATCTAAAGAATGTTGAAGGAAATACGGTATCTCCATGGCGAACGAATAATCCACAGAAAATTGATAGAAAATGGAATGTGATATATGTTCATACAGGTGTTAGACTATGAAATCAAATTTTTCATGTAACCGCTAAATATGAAATTCTAAGGCTAATGGTTGTATGTCATATTATGGACAACAGTTAAGGAAATCATTTTTCAGTAGTCGCTTTACAGTCCTTCAAGTTCATTGATAACCTAGTCAGAAGAACAGTGCGTTCAGTTGACACTAGAGTGAACGTTGACTTGTCTGGCCCTTTAACAAATTCTTTTTATCAGAGGCTTTAGAAGATGTATTTTTGCTGTATTCATCTTTCAGTGATACATTTCTTACTGAGAAAGCGTTTGTATTTACTATACAACGGTACAGCCATCATGTTTTCTCCTCATTGTCAAACTACATATCTTCTGAAACATGTAGGAAACATGAATGACGTCGACAGGAATGCATAATCACGGTGTATACAGCCTGATTTCATCTGTTTCGACTATCCTTATCGTTTTTACAAATGCAGATATGAGCAAATTTGAAATGCATGATGAAAACAGTAATGGTTTTATCGATCATCTCTTACCTGTCTCCTTTTCAAACTTCTGATTACAATGAATTTGTAAATAGACTTTAGTACTATACATATTATTTAATATAATATATTTATCTATCATATTGTTGACTGAAAAACATGCACTTTGATCGTGATAGAGGACCACGATATTTTCATTGTTTATATTTATGTTCGACTGGACTAAAAGAATTATTTCTTGTAGAGTAAATCTTATGATTCTTCGGTTTGATGTTAGAGTGGTTGCACTTGTTATGATTCAAGTTGTGATAGCCCTACACTACCTATTTTCATGTTTAATATTTGTCTAATTCGTATAACACTTTTATACATATACCATAAGAAATTTGACACTTTTTATCATATTCAATGTCCCAGGTGGCTACCAGTTACATCTGATGTGAAATATACTTGAGGTTAGATACGATGGAGAAGATTTGTAGCTCAGTTAGATGATATCAAGTTGAATTGATGTATTCGCTGAAGATATTGCTTAAGGCAATGAAAGCATCTCAAATAAACCTAGTGCCGTATGGTTATTTTATGATTATTATTATTGCTCCCTTGAGTTCCTAGTGGAACATAGGGCTTCAACTGCACGTCTCTACTTGCCACTTCTGTCTTCCTTCTGCTGTACTTTTCACCTGCATCCATGTTAGTACATACTCTTTAAACTCCTCAACTTTTCACACGATCTCCTCCATGTCACCCTTGCACTGACGTCCCACTCGTCGCTTCCTTTTTACGTTCCACTCAATCGATGGCTTGGAGCTCGATGTCACTCAGCGGTCTCCTCAGCGAGTGTCCGATCCATCTCCACTTTCTCCTGCATACTTGTTGGGCGATTGGTTCTTGCCTTGTTTGTTAGTTCCCATAGTTTCTTGTTGGTGATTCTTTTCGGCCATCTGATCTTCAGTATAGAGCAAAGACAATTATTAATAAAGGTAACGTCTGAAACCTTTTGAAAATATTATTTGTGACCCGCCCAGCGAGTTTGTGATCCGTATAGAAGAACTGACTGACTTGCTGTTTGTATTGAAAATCAGACCGAATTTGGTTGTTGATGCTGAGTGACGAAGATTTCCAGATTGGTTTCACGTTGGTTGATGAGTGTGTTTCTCGCCTTCCCGATTCTCGCTCGATTTGACATCCTCATCCGTTCCTCCTGTAGTTGAGACAATGCTCCTTAGATAAGTGAGTGAATGAAGAAAACCTCTTTCAAATCCCTCCCGTTGAAGGTGATTGACGCTCGATGTTGCTGCTGCTGTTGTTGTTGTTGGTTATTCTCATCACCTCCGTCTTGTCTATGTTCACTTGAAGTCCTGTCATTGCTGCTTCTTCGACCAGTTTGTCGGTTTTCGCTTGTAAGTCTTCGATGTTGTGTTTGTGACATCAAACATAAATCATCCATGCGCGAAATCCAGGTCTTCTAAGTTCTTCGCGTCGGTCCAGGATATTCCTGTCTTCTCGTTTCCCACTGTCTGATGCATAATCCAGTCCACCACAATTAGGAATATCATTGGTGATAGTAAGCACCCTTGTCTGACTTCTGTGTTTACTCGAAACGCCTGACTGAGTTTTCCGTTGCGGATGACGAGACATGTGACGATGTCGTACGGCTGTTGAATAAGGTTGATGAATATTTGGGGTACGCCGTGGCACTCGAGTAATTTCCAAATTACTTCACTATCAACGCTGTCGAAAATTTTATTATTTTATGACGAAGTTGATATTGACCTTCTTCATAAAGCCTAAGATATATGGGATTATGACTTCAGCATTACCCAAGGTTAACTGATCTACACGCTTCAGTTGATGCTTTTACACAGACCCATCATTTTACGTCCCAAACTAAATAAAGTGGAAATCAACACGCTGCTGAAACGCTGATGGATGGTTTTGTTTTAGAGATGACGTTATTCACTTCCTGTGGTTACGTTCCTAGCGGGACATGGGACTTCAAGTTTGTGGCTTAAAGTTTCGGTAACAGTGACGTTTACTTTCACTTGATAGGGTTGCTAGCCCCATACCCAACATTCTATTTTTAGAAGTTATATTAACGGCTTAGCGAATCAATGGAGTGTGCTGGACGGGGAGTGGACTCCGGACCACATGTATGGTTGGCGAGCATTGAAACGCTCTGACACTGAAGCACTCCGCGTCATTATACTCCAAATAGAATTTTTATCAAACGTACACATAAATACCAGATGTTCTGAAATGTTGTAAAACGGGAAGGGTGTCTGCAGAACAGAAGGTTCGGAAGAGAAATGCATGAAGGTTCAGATGTCGTCAAGAACAGATTCAAAGACTTTGGAATTGTTGCATGTAGACTTCAACTCAAGTGTTATACAGCAAAATACGGTGATTTGAAAACTAACCATCAACGAACTGGCACGGAATGAGCAGAAAACTTTCAGCTGATAAGAAGAGTTCAGAACATCCTGACTCTGTATGTGAATCATGTCTAAAATAACATAAACTCGAAGACTAACAATTCAATATGAAATTGTCAGGTGACGTCGACAGAGACGAGTGGACGACAAATGATAACACTTGTTCATCTTTGTCAGCGGGGAAACATTGAAACAAAATTGATTGTTGCGCATATGTGGCGGCGCAGTGGTGAATGTCAAAGACATGGTTCCCAAAATGTCACAAAGTAATTGTGTTAATAGGACAAAGTGTTCAGAAGGTGAGACACGTGAAAATCACGATGAATGAACATAAACTTTGCACGAAACGTCCAACGATAAATAACGAAGAATTAAGTAGTCTAGAAAAAGGATCATCTGTAGTAAGGCATACAATATATAGACGCCAAAGGATTAGTTTTGACATTTTGGTAGTTCTTGGAAGGGGCTTTCATTTATATAAATCAAGATGGACCTCCAAAGTCCTGTATATTTCAACCACATCAAATGAGGTAAGGAGGAGAAAAGGGATAAACTTATGACCTATATAGCATACTCTGAAGAAGTAATACAGAGGATGAGGAAAAACAACTTTAATCCTGTTTTATAAACGATAAAGAAGTTTACCATGTTGTCAGGCTTTTTACATAACAATCCATGTATGATCATGCAGAATACTAGGAAAATACGGCATTTCGGCATCAGTCATTCAAAATATACGATGACTGTTTGCGTATTCCTTTTTTGGCTACAAATGTCTACGGACAAGTGACCTTCAAATGAACTGACTTAAATTTTGTATAATTTTATGTTTGATGAAACTCGTGTAATTCCGCTGGAGAAGCGGATTATTTTAATGAATGCATCTTTATCAGATGATATAATCCAGCAGTGTTAACAGTCATGCTTTCTTTTTCGATGGCTATTCTGATTACTGGAGTGGCCTTGTTATTTTCATGGTGGAATAGTGTAAGTCAACTGAAAAGTCAAGCGGTCTTTTGTATTTAAACAATAATTTCAGTGATTACTAGATCTAACAATTTAACATGTCTACAATTCATAATTAACTTCACTTACTTACTTACTTACTTATTCTTGTATTTCTGAGATCAAACATGTGGGGAAGAATAAATCAGTTATTCAGTGCTTGCCCATCAGTTTATGAATCGCAGCGTGTTCACTTGTGGGAGAAACAGCATGACAGTTAATTCATATGTAAATCAAAAATAATGTGAAAATAACTTTATATAATTGTAGTAATATGAAGCTGAAATTGCAATTAAAAGAAGTGTTTGTATACGGCTTCGCTGAATAAGTGTGAGCACACCATTAGCAGTTTTGTTCATTCAGGCATAAATAAATTTTATCGCCTACTTACTACGATTTTAAGTATCACCTATTTAATCAACTACAGCTCAACACCCTAAATATTATTCACCTTATCATATTGTAGGAATCTTTGCCTGCGTTGGCCTGAGGCATTTGGAACACTGCTGCTATTATTCTGAGTTCATACCTCTGCTTTGAATTTGTATCAAACGGTGAGTACGCTCTAGTGTCTGACTTCTGATGCTAGTTCGTTACAAAACATACAGAATATGCATGATGGGCAAATTTGGATTTGATAAGGCTTCACACCGAGGTTGATACTCTAACAATTCTTGAATCATATTAATCAAAAATGCAAATTATGAATTGTTATCTATTCAGCAATATCATTAAAATATAGTTAGATAACTGTACATTCATGCTGTTATAATTATTTCTTTGTTTGTTTCAGTAAGCTCTGGTTTTCGTCAGCTTCCTGAAACGACTTTGATATCGATTAGCTCTTTCAAGGCGAATCTTGCAATTTTTACTGTAAATCAGGTTTTTTCTACAGACGTATTGGTTCCAGTGTGTCAGAACGGAGGGTTTACCTGTCCAATTTTTAAGATTATTTGATGAGTTATTACTAAATTAGTGTTTTTCACGGGTTTTGTCAGCTTTTTTTCCTTGAGAGTGTTTCAGCCCTTATCGGAGTTGCTCATACGTTAGTGCATTCTATCGAAGAAATATTGGCACGAGAATGTAGCTGAGTCGTGAATGAAGTGGTGTCACTGTAAGCTTAAAGCCTAATCATGGTATTAAATTCGTTCAATCTTAGAGAAGATTTTCGGAACAACTTTAGCAAACATAGATATACGAAATAAAATAAGATAACAAAAATGGATATTTTATTTATTCAATGTGCGTCGGTGGCATAGTGGTTAGGACTCTCGCCGACCATGCACATGGTTCGAGGTTTGATCCCCTGCCGGCGCACACCTGATATCTATGGTCGGCCTGCAAAATTTGGGCTACTGATATCCATGCTGCAGAAATTCCATACTTGTACCAAAAATACTGTGTGGAATCAAGCTGTAATCAAAAATTTTAAAAATTAAAAAAATATTTGATAACCACAGTTCACCCACTGTGTGGGGTTGAGCAGTAGTGTGGTTTTAAATGGACATCATCATTTCGTGTTTCAAAATCTCAAGTGAAACGGGATTATCTGCGTACAATCTAGTACACGACAAACTCATAGGTCTTTAACCTCAACCTCCCTTTTTATAATCTGTAGTTTTGCTTGTCTCTTGTTTCTATGATTTGAGTTCAACTCAGTACATTGTTACCTAACTTATTAGACACTATGCATCTAACGCACATCACATCTATAATACGTAACTCCTTTACCATTAAATGCATACATTTATTTTTGTTTAAACGTGAACAGCCTGTGTGAAAACTATATAAGCGCAATTTTCTGAGCACTGTTTACTAATTGTGGAACTTTCTGTCAACTGACAACATGTAAAATTTTTAAGTATGTTAAAACGTTTCTGTATTTAACCTCATAATTTATTCAGGCTGTAAGCAGCTGATGAGAAGCCAACGAAATAAACAATGATGGTACCATATTATTCTGCACAAACCACTGTTTTTATTGCTTTATTCAAATAAATATGGTCTGTTTCAGCAAAGTATTTTCTGCAAGTAAATGTTGAAGCGCTCATCTCCGACACAAGAGTGAATATGATTACTGAACGTATTTAGAGTCGCAGCTAAATAAGTAGTAAAAGCACATATAAAGATGGGAGTTCGACCTCGTGTTTTGTGCTAAGCAATGCTGGCAAGAAATCCGTTAAATTGCGCATGGTTAATGTATAAAATTTAAAACAAATTCATGAAATGAACTGCATTCAGTTTACAATGCTTACCGTTCTTTCACAATATAAATTTCTGATGGGTCCTCATTTCATTGGTGTTTAGGCAAATTCATAACATTTATGGCTTGAGGGTTTATATAGAGTTACTACGTTGTTAGAAAGATAATCGGCTCTCTCATTATCACCTAATTGTAATCTATTCTGACACTATCTCAATCAACTGTCAAAACCAGCTAATGACATGAATGTTATTTTAGGATGTATACGAATTCAATGTCACTACAAAAACGAAATGACAACTGGCATTACCAATCCCTTAATAAAATCACTGTAGCTGTTTTAGTTGTTATTCGATAAGATTGAATGCAGTACTGTTCCAAATGCTGAGAATCCACATTGTGTCACTTTTTGTGTTTGCGAATAGAGCAAATTATTATTATGTTTATTATAAAATGAAGAAATTAGCGCAATATGGAAGCAATCAGAGCCATCTCTTTTAGTCTGTAGAAGGATCAGTAAAGTTGTTTGAGTTGAGGTGGAAACGATTTTTCCCTACAAGCAGGCTAATCGCCATCGTAGCGAGATTACCCAACTCATCCATCAGTTTCGTCAATTTAATTTTAGAGATAATGTTTATGCAATCATATGAGGGATATTCTTACAAAGTGAGCCTACGCAATGTAAGTGTAGACACTTTTAGAAAGTACCCGGCCTCCTCAAATCTGTTCATAATCAATGGTCACCAGCCCACACAATAAAATAACACATGAGACCTGCTTTATATTGTACGATGAAACTGTTCATACAAGGCGGAGTTATTTGTGTGATTTCAGGTCAAATCCATGCCCGTTTGTTTTGTGAACGTTTGTCAGCGTTACTTAATATTAATAATTGAGAATTTATCACATAGAATAAAAAAGTTTCAGTCGAGATGTTTTGTCGAATGCAAAACAGCAGTGAGAATTGAAGGTTGGGTTATTTGGAGAAAGCGCATCGAATATTTAACCAAGCATGAAAGCATCGAACTCTCATCATTCGTCTTCCGTCGACCTGCCTCAAAATCGTTCTAATTTCTGACACTCACAGAGATAAATTACAGATGTCAATCGAAAAAAACGAACATTAGAAATAGGTGAACTTACGCATCACCTTTGAATCTGATTAACATTCTGAGAACAAATTACTATCAACATACCGATAATATGAACATGCAGTACTGATATATTAAACAATATTTAATCAATTTTTTATGTCGTTATTTGTTTATTTATTTAAAATTTTGTTGTTCTGCAAGTTCACTGAGTTTCTTCAACAAATTTTTCTACTTAGTTCATAGAAAACGTGATAAATAATATTACTAGAATATGCCTAGCATGCTACTTAGAATCTTTATTATTCATTATAAAACATGTCAGCGAAAATGATGGAAAATATTAGAAATCAAAGTATACAGACTGAGATGAATATAAATTTATATACTCGTGATATATTCATACATTACTGCTGCTGATTGACATTTCTTTATTCTTAGGTAAGCCATTCATTTTTGCTTATTTGTCATCAGCATTAATTTTCATGTCAGTCGTTACGCGCTAGCTGATTCACGAATTCAGCAGATCTGCATATTCTTTCCCGTGGATTGTTTTTTTCAGTGGAGATGGTCTAGTTAGCTTCTTAATGCATGTCTCCGAGAATATCAAAACTTTGCATAAACACAACAACAGGCAGGGAAAAAAACGTTCTATGAAACTATGTTCACTGAAAATGTAGCGAGTGAAGGGTGATACTTTGAAGGATATCATGTCAGTTTTTGTTTACCTTAGAGAAAGGTAAACGTTAGGTTAAAGCAAGAGAGCAGTTACATTTGGGTTAACAAAAATACACCAACCAGCATTACGATTGGCTTTATGTACGTTAGGGTTACAGTCGATTTAAGTGCACATATAAGCTTTTTATTGCAACAGCTCGTTCTAAAGTCACTGATGTGTCTGCATCTCGGGCATCCAGATGTTTATTATCCCTGTTGACTTACAAAGTAAATAAATATGCTTTCACTCGAATGAGAATAATGAAGCTTCAACAAACTTGTATCAAATTCATCGAGTATTTGAGGAGCTTATTGCAGCGTTTTATTAAGGTCGTATCGTGTACAATGAATATCGCAATAGTATGCTTCATTTTAATGGAGTTTAATATTTCGCCATTCGTTTATCACTTTTTTATTCATAATAGACACCAGATTCACCTTAGGATCCGAATGAAGTTGCATATGTGACTCAGTGATAGATCACTCTTCTGTTTTGAAGCTGGCATCTTAGATTTTATTAGTTGATTGTTTCCAAATGGTGTTCTGTACATCCAAGTGTTGAAAGGTTCAATAGGCAGACGTGGTTCATGTGTGATATAGTGTTTGTTTGTTTGCTTAGTATTATTCCCCTTATTTCAGAAGAGTATGCAGATATTTCTACTCTCACAATAATATTAAAAATAATCTAACTTTTTTCTCATAAGCTATGAGACAAGAGATAAAACTTAGTCATTGTGGTAGAATATAACTCATTACTGGCTTCCCCTATTGATGAATTCATTTTATTTAAAACAGGCAACTCATGATTAGGATGCTTGAAAGATATTGACTTTAAAGTTTGAAATAAGATGATCTTTTTTCAGAAATCTAACAATGGTTACAGGTTAACTCACAGTGCACGATATCTCCCTCAGGCACACTGTTTTTATCACTTAAACAAAGTATGCTGGCGCGTTAATGATTGGATATTCAAATAGCGAGACTAACGTAGGCGTCAGCCATCGAATAATGTTTATTCAGACATCACATTTAAGCCAATTATCCTTTCGTATTATTCAGTCAAGTAGCAGAATGACACATAAAACACAGAAGTGTCGAATATACTGCATAAACTCTCCAATCAAAATGTATTCATGTAAGCTTGATTTTGAGAAGATAGTTTCATAAATTCTGAAATTTTTCTCTTGACAACTATACGAAGAGTCTTGGATTTTGGCTTCCTGCGAAGGTGAGTCACAATACACTATCACAGGTTCATGTGGGCATTTTCAGCGTTTTAAATCCGCAATACAATCACTGTACTAATGCCTGAAAGAAAGTGTATTCTTAAGGTAGGATTAGTTGTTTGGTTTGGATCGAATCAACCATCTATTGAAGTACGGGATCTCTTCATTTTTATTGATCACAGTAACGATGATCATCACCGTATTGGTGGCAAGCGTGTAAGAGCCTAAAATTACTGTTTATATTTATACTTCTTATTCAGAGACAAATTAAACACCATTCCTTTGGAGGAAACATCGACCGCCCTCGTGTGAGTCATTTGAAATACAATTGTAACAGATGTTTTGCGAAACAGTAAGAAATCAAACCAAATATTTAATGTAACATGCATAATCATGTTTTTCTGATGGGTCATTTAGTATCAGTTATTTCACTTTTGTTCGAACATTGTACTTTATTTACGATAAAGGCATCAACAGACACCGAGAGAGACTTTCGACTTTCTTGGGTCAACCATACAATTTTTATATTTTTCAGTTTCGTCAGTGCCCTTCTCGCATTAGGATTGCTTCTCGTTCCTAGTCTTCAGGAAACATCTCCGGTGAACTTCATATTAGCTGCGCTGAGTGTAAGTGAATCACAGTGCCACATTTGTGTTTATGTGTGTAATTTTTAATGACCTGCGAGGACTAAATCAATGGCTTAGATGTAAACCTAATGATAATTCTAACTGTTGATTTAATACCTGATTCAAAATGTCGAACACTGTTGACAGAATGAGATGTTGTATAGATGAATACTGATGTATTTAACTATTGCATTTGAATCTCTGTTTCTGGAGTATAATCACATACATACTTGAATGCTCTCTAAAACAGCAACATAATTCATGACCGTCACAAAGGAATCCAATGAATACATAGATGCATGGTAATAAAAAATATTAAGGAGATGTGAAAATGAAAATTAGTAGAATTACAGGTGAATAAGAACGACAATTTCGATGGTACCTGCAGCATGACCTTTTGCATTCTTCGTGGCTAAGAATACACTAGCATTTTGAGTTTCAGTTTTAACAAAACGTCAGTTACCTGAATAACTAAGATTTCGTTTTCACCACATACATGCAGCATCTATATTTTTCCTGTCCACGTCACTTCAAATTATTTTTTTGATGTATGAAAGAAGGCAACGCCTAACGACACTGTCCTCCTCACTTTGTTAGAATAAATACTGGTTACCTAATCATTGATTGTGTGAAGAGTAAAAAGGTTGTTCAAACAACTGATGTCTCCAGTAAATGTGAAGGAAGCTGTTCAAAAATTGATGAATATAATTTTAACCAAATGACAGCATAATAAGTCCGTTGATAACCATTTGTGTTCAATATGATTCTTCTACACTGCAGGTATTAACTTCGTCTTCTGGCTTCGCTATTTACACAGCAGGCCTAGAGCTGTGGTCTCTTTTATTGTGGTCATTGACTATTGTTCTGTCTGTGACTGCAATCACAATAGGATACAAAATAGGCCGACTAAATTCCTCTGGGTACTATATCATCAGTTGGGTGATCTTTGGATTGATGCTTTCAGGTGCCATTCTCTTCATAATATTCTCCTCCATTCAATTTACAGTAAGTAACATTTTTAACAAGCAATTTTGTATCACTAGTTCTCATTTCCCTATCGAAAATAATTTTGAAATTTGTTTTCGAAAATTTGTCATATTCATGTTGATAAAGACTAACTTGTGAATGAAGGTTGGTGGCAGGCTGTGTTGCAACAAAAGGATTACATTATTCAAGCTGATATTTCACTATTCTTCCAAGATTTCCAGAAGGTCTTTATCGAAATTGTCTTGCCAACATTAGGACAAAGAAAATCGCAGTTTCATGATCCTCTGTGAAGGCGAAATTAGATAAGTCAGTCGTGTAAGACACTCCCATAGCAAACCTTGAATTGATGTTCCCACTGTAAAGATAAACGAAAAGATGGTTCGTGGATTAAACTTGTTATACTTGAGAGTAAGAACACATGATACACAGGAGTAATTTCCAGTGTCTCACAGAGTGTGAAGATGTTTATGATTTATTAAGTGAAATTGTAAAAAAGGTGAATATTTTGAATTTCCAACATACATTTTGTAATAAACAGGTATTTCGCTTGTATCAATGTGAAGCGTGCTTTTCTGACTTTTACTTACAGACGACTGCAAATATAGTCTTGAGCGTGATTTTAGGACTCGAAATAACTGTGGTAAGTTCGATTCTAAGATCTGTTTGTATTCGTTTTATTTATTCACTGATTAAAATATATTCTTGCTTCTGTTTCCAACAATCAGGATACATTTCACGTGGGACAGTATGTTTCGCGATGCTTTAAGTGCACTTTGTGCAGTCTGAAGATTATTTGTAGCATTCATGACGAATAACTCATATACGATACTGAGTTATGCGTGGACTGGTGTTTAATATGGAATGTCTAATATAGAATTACTTTCTACCACAGTGGCCAAGTTTCACACATACATTAAAACTGGTGTTTAAAACCAAGTTTGGACGCTACTTATATGTGGTATCATTGAAAAGATTGTAAACGGGTTACAAAGCCTAAACTACTGCATAGTTTATAACAAGGATGTTCAATGTGTAGAATAACGGAATTTTTAAGTTATCGGATATACGCGCCAGAATCAACTGCTAGTTATTCGTTGATGTTTCAATAAAATGATTCTTCTTTTGCGAAAACACTTTAATTAATTCCCCATAATAACGAATACAAAACGTTTTACTCAAAACTGGGGGAGGCACACATTTTTCTTCAGTTTAAAAAATGAACATTGATAGGCTGTGAATGGTAGTCTTGGTTAACACTTGCTAAATTGCCCATGAAAACCTGCTTAAACCTTAATCATGTAATTTATTGTTTTCGCAGATTGTCACTATTGTTTCTATTCCGTTTTGTGTCTCTTAAACAGGCGCTATATCTTAATGGAGAAGAATTAAAACGTTGCGGTGAAGTGAATACAAATGCCTTTCTACCATTTAGACTGTCTCTAATTACCTGGGTGTTAGTGTTCTTGCAGTATATGACTATGTCACAGGTCACTGCAAGTATCATTCATTACAGAAATACTAATAGGGATGGAGCTAAGGATCTGTTTGACACATCGTCTCATGCCTAATTGTTGATTTATTATAAATCCAAATGTTATGTGAAATAGACTAATGAATCCTATTCACTTACGTTTGCTTTTATTCGTGAAATAGTTGCCGTGACGTTAATTCTGATTACAGCAACATTTTTTAAGATTGGGACAATTTACGCAAGCTATCTTTGACTTCGATAAAGTTGCTAAAAATATGTTATCCAAAGGTTCGGAGGATGTCTATAAACATTGGATATCTATTAGGCCTTGAATAACTGACTTGAAAAAGAATCTTCATATGCTTGTAAAAATTGTTGTGCAGTGTTCATTTGATTGTGCATCAGTGATTCAGTGGTAAACAATAATAATCTACTTCATTCCAATAACAGTACTAATATTACAATATGGAATTCTCATCATTTGTCACAATATTGCTGATTTACTCAAAAAAATAATTAAAATTAAAACTTTAAACAAAATTTCCCAGGGGTAATTTGTCCAGATTAACGATATAAAGTCGATAATATTCGAAGTACGAATTGACAATATTACAAATATAAAGGTAAAAATAACAGTGAGTTTGTTTCAAACAGTATTGTCGATTCAGTTTGAAAATTTCAGTATGTCAAAGTTTATTGAAACTAATGTTCTGGTGATATAATTTGGTGAGGGAAATACGCAGTAAAAACAGTTATAGTGTAACAACAGAAGACAAGGGCCAGGCAACAGATCGTTTTATTATGAAATTCAACACGTATTTATACATATTTCACATACATTATTATAGCTTATGCAAGTAGACAAGCGCAGTCATCTGATTGGTTGTTCATCAGAAGTTAGGCAGCCAAACGCAGGCTTCTGATTGGTTGTTTCGGGATTCCTCGACAAATAGAGTTCTCGATCTGCGAATCATATTTTGCCACGTTAACTTTGCTGTGATTGGTTGTTGAATCAGCCGTGCTCATATTTTCTCACGGCCTGCTCTCACCACAATAGCACAGCTCAAATAATATCCACACTAATGAAGAAAAGACAAATAAAAAGCAAAACAAATGAGAGGATTATCAATATAAGAAGTACAATAACAATAAAAGTTGATGCTGTAAGGATGGACGAAAATCATTTATTTAGTAGTTCAAAGAAGGTTAGTCAGTTTATGCCTAACACTATTTTCATCACATAATCTGAAAAGACGTTTTGTTTTACCTCAGGAGACACGAAGCTGCAGCTGTGGTAAAAGTGGATGCTCACAGTCTGAGAAGATTCCTTTGGCAAATTTCTTGCGTGACATCAGGTGCCTGTGAATGAAAATCTAAACGATGTGGGATACTAGTGTAACAACAGAAGACAAGGGCCAGGCAACAGATCGTTTTATTATGAAAATCAACACGTATTTATACATATTTCAACTACATTATCATATTTTGCCACGTTAACTCTGCTGTGATTGGTTGTTGACTCAGCCTTGTTCATATTTTCTCTCGGCCCATATTAGTGACCTAGACCTTAACGTAGATTAGTGCCAACCAATCGGCTAGCAGCCTGCTCTCACCACACTCGTCCCCCCGTCAAATACGTGCGACTGAAGTCGGCTTGATCTACTTGGTGCAGGCGTCATCGTTGGCTTGTCTCGCTGTATCCATTTCTGAAGCTCGCTGACGTTCACGCGCCTCTTATTGTTCGCCATTGCGACTGTGTCTGCGTAACCCCATCTCGACCATATATGGTCCTTCCCACTTTGGAAACTGTTTGCCTGACCCTGTCGAACATTCGTCCATACTTCGGCTCACACTTTCATATGCTGCTTTCACCCGACCTCCCAGCAGCGTCCCAAGTAGCAGCTCCATCGCTGACAGATCTTGAACGCCACTCAACTGCGCAGAAGCGTTGAAGTCCTGCCCGAAGATCCATATGTCTCCATCAAAAACAGCAGGGCATAGGCTTTCCATTTGTCGGTAGGCAGCGACACCAAATGTAACAACAGAAGACAAGGGCCAGGCAACAGATCGTTTTATTATGAAAATAGTAGCCTTACTGACAGTCTTTAGAGTTCTCCAAAGTATGACATAGTCTGTTTTAAGCAATCGAGAAAAGAATAAGGGTGAACAATAGAGAAGAATAGGTAAGGTGCACGAGTTTACAAACTGTAAAAGGAGGTATTGGCTTATGCCTGAGTGCCTCAACGTCTTAATGTAAAAAGGTCAGGCGAAACATATTTTTTAGACATTGCTAAGGCATGAGAAGTGCGTCGGTGCCATAGCGGTTAGGACGCTCGCCAACCATTCACACGGTCCGGGGTTCGATCCCTGGCCGACTCACTCCCTTACCTCGCTAAGCCAGAAATAATGCTGGTAAAGAGGAAAGGTTGGGCATGAGGTAGGCTAACGTCCCCATCATTTGAAATAAGCACTGCTACAGAAGCTTCAAGCCACTAGCTTGTAGGTGCACTATGTTCCACGGGGGAACGTGAAGGAAAGGAAGAAAGAAGAAGAAAACATGAGAAGACCACAATAGGTCAGTGAAAACAATTAATCCAAGATAATCAACATTAAACTTGATTTCCATATCAGTACCATCAGTATTTTAGCGGTCAAAGAAATTAACAAATTCACTTAACTGACTTTTGCATCGGAAACTGAAATTAACAGTCTGATATATCCAATGAAACCCATAAGGTGATGTCAGTTATCAGTTAATTATACAGTAAAAGCGTTTCAAACAGCAACAGGAGAAAAACGTGGGTGCTACTATCAGTGATGGTCAAATTCATCGCGAGAAAATGAATTATGGAAGACCACAACGACTGATGAACATGAAAACGTTGGACCTATGGAATTATACCGACAGATCTGTATACTCGGAATAATCTGTATCTCGCGTCTTAAAAGCTGAACGAATGAAAAGTGAAAAATAACACGTTGGCATAAAAGGCAGGGAATGTAACACTCCAGAAGATTAAATAGAAAGCAGAGATGCTGAATATATTCAACTGACAACAAAAAAAATTGCCACTAACGTATGATTATGATGAAAAGTAAATCTACACTTATCTGTGCGGCACAATTTCCACCATTGGTAGCAAGGATATGAAAACTAAAGCCAGTTCGGATTTTGACATCCAAAGTCCTTAATAAGTGTGAATATCCGAAGCACTTAGTTCAGTGAAAACGTGGAAATTTAACATACTAATTTCACTTCCTTTTTATTTTATGGCTGACAGTTTAGGAACTCCACCAGAGTATTTAGCAACAACCTACAAACTTTCACCGACAGACACCTTTCATTTACTACTCAATACCACGTGCCATGAAAAGAATAAGAACAAAAGTCTCTGTAGCATAAAAAAATAACATTATCGCTGAACAAATATGCGTAAGTGAATGGTTACATATTACACATATATTATGAGTATATGCTCAGTCGATGTCACTCTACAGTTCATGAAATAGGATTGAACGTCGATGCTTCGACTTTAACATCTCATATTTGCATGCCATAGTGAGCAAGGAACAAGAGCATATGAGACGTCATAGGATCCAATCGATAGCAAAGAGAGAAGAGAATTTGAGACGTCCACCTCAGTGCCTATTTATTTCTCAGAACACATGTTACTAGTCATTTTATGAACAATAACATGTAGATTGCAAGAATATCTGTAAGTCAGTGGTTGTGTTTCTTCCATATGTTTTTGTTTCAAAACCTCTTGATTTGGCGTTTCATTTGCTCACGCGAGAGTATTTCTCATTTGAAGTCGTTCGCCGCGTTATATTGTGTAACTGTTGGCATGAGTGTGCGTTGTTTAAATTTATTATCACTTTGTTTAGGGATATTCTTCCTTTTTTTCACTGGTGATTATTAAATGCAGGTGAATTCACATGTATCACTGATAAAAGAATATAATTGGTCACTGTGGTATAGTGCAACTTCATCTACAACGATATGGATCGGACCAGTGAAGCTGGGATAGTCAGATTGTTGGAAGGTAGGGTTTTAGCTAGGGGGAGAATGACTGACCACAGGAGCGTTGATACTTATGAGTTAATTGCAGCATTCTTAAAATTACATCAACGTACAAGCACAGAGTAGCCATGTGGAGGGAGATTCCTTTCATAGAATCCTTCTTCAAGGAATCACTACGTAACAGGTGCAACATGAATAGCAAAAAGTGAAGATGAGTGACGTGAAAAATAGTATTACCAATAAAACCAATAGATACGAAACAGAAAACGAAGTTTAGAAGCTATTTCAATGCCTTAATGTGGCTATGAGCAGTTAACTATGCTCAAATTGTTATCAGTGAATAATATTGTATTGTATTTGTCTTTTGTCAAATAAATTTTTACATTGGTGGAAAACAGACAATACTCCCGACTACTAGACATTAATCAACAAATCATGGTATGGTAGATGAATTTTCTCACAACTCCTAATACTACTGGTTGTGTAATTCATTTTACTTTGAATATCGCCACTCAATGAATAATCCTTATTTTAACCATATTCGTATTTTTAAATATTGTTTATCTGTTAAGATCGCCATAAACGACTATCTGGAATCCTTATTTTGAATTACATCGAATGTCATCATGAAGACTATTGTTGTGCGCATCAATCATTTTTATTCAAATGCCTATTTTTTGCTATTAGACTTAGTATCTTTTCTCTGATCAACAAAATATTTGTTCATTTGATATTTAGAATAATAAATCGTTATTTCTAATAAAGTAACAGTTTTAGGGTACAAAGTTCAAAATCATTCAGGCGATTCATGAATAAGTGGAAAGTAAAAAAATTAAACGTTGTTATTTTCATCTCCTAAAAACAGTAACAATATTTGAATGCATATTGTTATTAGCATTGAGCAAAGTCCCTGTAATTCATTTTGAAAAAAATCACTCAACACAAATTATCTTTATCATAAGTATTCTGAGAATTATTTTTCTTCAAACCACTCGGACGATAGTTCAAACGTTTTTACTATTGGCTCACTTCTGAGTATTGTATCAATAAATAGTCAACAGGAATCGATGAGTGTTGTGGTGACAAGCTGTGACAATCTCTTGCCAATATCTTATGTTGAATAGTTTACAGAGTCTTTTCCTACAGAAATAACAATCAACTGACATTCTGCTTTTAGTGTTCGGATATCTGGATTAGATTAACTATGATAACATTTTGCTGTATACCCAAACATTACTACTGTCACAGTGTGTAATATTCAACATTTAGTTCATAGTCATATCTCTTTTGATGTAACAATAATTAAAACAATTATATTGATAATATAACAGGATTGCTAATGACAGTTCTTTCATGGTAATTGCAGTGACAATGAGGTCATATGTGTACCTATACAAAACCGTGAATAACAATAAAGTTTCTAGCTATGATTGCCAGTTAATTTAGGCAGTGTAACCATAGATTACAAATAATAGATTATTAAAGGGCAAATTATTTAGCTAGCAAAATGTAATTCATAAGTTTCACACCTTACATTGTCTCTATCACATAAAACAAGGGTCATAAATGGTATTGTTGAGTTCCTATCCTTGGTTGAACAAACATATACTCTTTTTTTAGTGACCCTTGGTTTTCACAGATGAGATAACAGGGTAGTGCTGAGAGTAGAGTGGGGTGTCGAGGGTCAGAGAATGCAGATTTCGACCATTTATGAGTTTAGAAGTTGATCAACTAATGTAGTGACAAGCTGATTAAGTTGCA